AAACAGCAGATATATCACTACATCTTGTATATAACCTGCGTGAGGTACACTGCTTGAGTAAATGTACTTTGTTACATTCATTCACTGGCAAATTGGTTTAATGTTGGTATGTTATAGACTATTTAAATGTAGTCATTATTACATTTTAGTTCTACTCCAGAGCTGATGCAATTGGACCTCAAACTCCTTCAGAAGTCTCCACCATCATTGACAGTGCTGTCGTCACAGCTACATCTCACCTGCACTCAACTCGCACTTCCTCCCCTGCTGCGGTTTAAGCAGCGCCTCGAGGTGTTCAGATCAAGCTTCTGGGTTGATCAAAAGAGTGCCGCCGGCTATTGTGAGAGCCTGTGATAGCTTTGAGGGGCAGGCAGAGCACACTTCAAGATCCGATTGCATTGTGAAGGGGAGGCAGCCTTTAGGTAAAGGAAACAAAGTCAAATGAGAGGACAAAAACAAAGGTGAGCTTTGTAAGATCCAAGAAAATGTTGGTTTTCTACAGTAAGAGCTGAAGACAGAGCTGGAGCTTTCATGCTGGAAACAAGGGAATATCTAAATAGTCTGTCCTGCCTGTTTACCTACAAGATTATCTTGAAATTAACATGTTACGCCACATGCTTATTTCTTTCTCTGTTCTTATCTGGGCCCCAACATAGTGAGAATCAGCACATCCGTTATCTTTAATAATTTGATGTTAACAGTGCTGCATGTTGCCTTAATGCTGAAGAAGTTTATAAACAACTCAGGGATAAAGCACATAGTTTATTTCCCATGTTCCCAGAACTGATAGCATATTAATTAACATAATCCATTACAGCTCAACTTGGGATTTAATTCAGATAAGACACAACAGAAATGTATCCTCTGTTAAGAGCCTTAGGTGATCCATTTTCATGATCCACCACCCCTGCTCCCTGCAATTACAGGTCACGTGAACTTTGTTTGGCACAACAGGCGGGAGTCGACACTTGATACAGCATAAATTGTAAAAGATGAAAGGACAAAAAACCCTGAAACAATCAATTTTCCGACGCAGCATTTTAAGATTCAGCGACAGACAGCAGCAGGAGTGTTGGGTGGAAAATTCTCAGAAGGGCTATTTCTGTACGTCTCTCTTGCCTCAGCGCTGAATAGGTAATAAACAGAGGCAGCCAGCAACGGGCTGAGTAAATACAATGTGCCAAGCAGGCTGAGTCTCAGAGGAAACAAGAGGTAGGGAAAGAGAGAGAGAGAGAGACAGAGAGAGAGAGCATGAGGTGATGATTGGAGGAGGGTGTGAGAAGGCAGTGAGAGAAGAATAAAGGTAGAAAGATAGTTGGAGGATGAAGAGAGGATAGAGAAGATCAGAGTAAGGGGGGAGAGAGGGAGTGAGAGGCTGGAGAGCAAGACGAATGGGGCGACCTGTAGAGGAGAGGACAGGAGGAGGGGAGAAGAAATATGAAAGAATGGACGGAAATCTGAAAGAGACACAGAAACGGGAAGAGGTGACAGAGCTGAAAAAAGCAAGGGATGTGTAGTAGAGAGAGGGGGATAATGTGAGAAGAGATCCAAACGAGGAGAAAGCAGGATAGAGACAGAGAGAGGTGTTGCGTGTTGAAAGTGCAGAGGAGGAGCACTTCACCACATGCAGGGAATACGGTGAACCTTCAATTCAACTTCTGCCAGCTGGAGAACAGGAGCCTGTGAGTACTACAAAAAAAAAAGTGCTCACATGCCTGTTTGTTTTTTCTGACAAACAATTCAAAACCTGAACAAATTAGAAAACAAACAGCAAATGTGCCTTATTCTTCTGCATGCATACAGGTCATAGCACAGATTCTAGATATAGCAGGATACAGTGTGTTTTGTTTGGGTTGCTCTACAACAAAGAGTCTACAATACTGGAATTCAGAAGTGACTTAAACATATTATAAATAAAATATAATCAAATATCTCACCTCTACAATACATACTACTTCTGAAAGACACTTCTGCTAAGGAATTAGAATTATGTATGATCGTGATTGGATGGTACTTCACTGGTAGCCAATGATACTGAGAATGAATGAGACAGAAGAGCTGCAACTCTCTGCCTGAAATAGCACAAAACTTAATTTCAGTAACATTCAATTCTCAACAGAGAAAGAAAATCTTTAAATTAAATAAAGAAATCCTACTTCCGGGGTGTGCGCTAGAGTAGTATGAGAAAATGATTTGTGTCTGACAGTTTCCCAACAGATTTCCAGTTTTTTTCCCAGTCCACCTTTTACCACTTTTTATTTTTGGTGGCACTTAAAAAAAAGTGTTTTAAATAATTACTGTCAAATCACATGATCAAAATCTTTGCCACTGATTGTTGTAGTTCTTACAGGAGACTGTGGTCTCTACAATGGAGATGGTGAGTAAAATGTTTTCATGTTTCAATGTAGTCACAATGGACAAAAATACAATAATAACCCCTCTGAATTTCTCTTTAAAGTAAAAGCTCCTTTCATTGCTGTTCATGCCCTACATATTACAGACCGCATTACTTTTTATCAAGAAATTGGTGTATAGAAAAGTATCCTCTACAATATGTATGAGTAAGCAAAAGCAATCAAAAGTAGCAAAGGCTAAAGTTACTGTAATCACTGACATAAGCATTTTCAGATAGATGTAGCTCAGCAGAGCCGATGGAGACTCCTCAGTCTCTGAGGAGAATCTGCTGTTACCCTCCTTGTAAGCATAAATACGGAGCACATGCTAATTTCTATTAGTCTCTAATCTATTAGGAAGCTCCTTCCTGAAGGGCCTGTTGTCTGTCGGGTGCCTGAGACGTCAGACTGTTCCTTATCATTATAATGAACATGCGTCTTGATGCCAAGCCGGCATTGTGTGTTGTAGAGATAGGAGTACTGCTTATACAATGACCTTGTTTAAACTAGGGTCTCTGTCTCCTTGATGTTGCTCACACAAAGGTTAGAGCTTGATAATTACATAAGGTCCTGTAAAATGAGCCTAGAAGGACTTCCATATCTTCAAGGAGAGTCAGGAGAATGGGACAATGAGTAGACGGAGATGAGAAGGTGAAATGACGCAAATGTATTCGGTGGATGACATAAGGACAATCTTGGTTCAAGACCAACTCCCACTAGGGGAGAATGATTTCATTTTGTCTGCTCTTTATTCTTTTTGTATGAACCTGATACATACAAAATACATGAATTACAAGTAGTGTAAAATCCAGTCAAATTATCCAATTAAATACAGGTAATAGTTTTAAACTACTTTACTTGAATTATACATATTGCTTTTGTCACTGCAAAGGAGACGGGGGCTCACCTCTGTTTCTGTACTGCATTAATCTAAGATCTTCTCTAAAGTAACCTAAGCGCTCTTCAATTAAAAAGCATTTTTGGTTAAAAAATATATATTTTTTTTTACTCTCGAGTTTGCAAGTGGTATGAAAAGTCAAGGATTTTTATCTTTCACTTCTGAACTACACGACAAGTTAAATTCGCTACAAATATTCACACATACAATACATTAAGGAGCATAAGGAGCTAGACATGATTTATAAATACACATCAGTGTGTGAATATAGTAGGCTGTATAGATATTATGCCTCTGTCAGCAGGATAAGTATGCCAAAAATTGCAACGACAGTCTTACCTGACTCGGTGGAAGTGCTGCCTGAAAGGCTCAACTCAGGGCAAAAGAGCTCTGTGAAGTGCTTAAATTACTTGCTACATATTTACTGCAATATTTGCTGCAACTTGCCATTGCCATTAATGAGTGGAATTAATGCTTCACTGTAATTATAGACATTAATCTATGCTACTGCTGGACATGGGAAAACATGACCTACCTTAATGCGTGTTTGACGTGAAGATGTTTTCCTGTTTGTCCCTCATGAGTGCGTTCTCTTATCCAGGCCTGATGGGAATAGGTTTGACTCACCCACAGCCACAGGACCGGACTCTGTATCTGCCATGCGTACAAAATGTCCTCCTTTGTGGCAGTCATTCGAGCTAATGGGCCTCTTCTGGCTTTGTGCAGCCCACTCCTCTCTTGATGTAGTAAGTTCAGGTTTGATTTTATGGGTAAAATGTCAGATGAAAAAGTTCCCAATTGTTACAAAGTGCAAACAGTTCAGTCTTGCACCAATGCTTTCCTGTCATCTACCAGGTGTTTTGCCTTGTTTTTGACTCATGTGTGACATCTGTTTTGACCCTCCAATCTCCTTCTACAGACCAAATCTAGCATATATATATATATATATTCTAATAATAATATATTTTTATTATATGCACTTTTTCAGCTTTCTAACTGATACATGTCATAGCCAAGCCAGGTCGTTCTAATCCAGTTTATTAAAACAATAGAAACATTGGAGGAGATGTGTTGTGTCAGCACTCAGAGACACGGCTTGCATGCAGCCAGTTGTGTATGTGTGTGTGTGTAATTTCTAACATTGCCAAAAGCAACAATCCACATCCTAAATGGGCTTGTAACCAATTTTCTGGTCAATGGACAATGAGCATTTGTACACCCTCGCCATTTCTTCTCTCTACCGACCCGGTACAGCACACCCAGCACAGACAGAAATGCAGTCTTTCCTCAAAATGGCTAAGCGGTTTGAATAAAAAGCTCAGAGACTGCTTACTGGAGCAGTGAAGGTTAAATAATCATCTGACAAGCAAATCAGATGCACGGAGGGCCACAGATGCTCAGAAGATGGAATTCACAATATCTATCAATCCATTATGCGTACAGTTCACATGCAGAATATAATGCGAGCCTTGATGCACTCATCTCGCTATACAAACATATGCACGCTTTATCCCACACCTGTCTGTGTTTAAAGTACACTATACACACCTACTGTAAGTACCTACATATGCATACATGCATAAGGTATTACTGACATGCGTTGACACAGAAAACTGTTACTGTTGCAGCTGTGTAATGGCCTTTTGCCTTCATCTGCAGATGCAAACAACAAGGTTAACAATAACAACACTGACACAGAGGCGTTGGTATTGTACTGTACACAATGTACTTTATTGTTCATCCCCTCTTTGCTGTGACACTGATAGATAAGGCCTGACTGCTGACTAAGGCAAGGACAGAAAAGTATGCGAGAACAGACATGGCATACTGCAAGAGAACAATTTGGCTGCATCTCTAAAAAACTAAACCCACTTTGTTTGCTTGTCACCGCTCTGATTAACAGCCTCAAAGTACATTAAGATTCAATTCATCCAACGTCTGGTGGATTCTCAGGCAGGAAGATGGAGCTACTTATGATCATATGAAAACTTCTATACCCCAAGATGGAGGAGTAAACCTGCCAGGAGCTCTGGCCTCTTTTTTTCTTGGTATTGTCAATGAAACATTTGTACTTGTATATTCTGGACAGTACCTGAGATATTTTTAGCATTTAGAGCTTCAAGCCATAAAAGAAAGATCATTTTAACTTTCAGCAAAACAATCCTGATTCAAACTAGTTTTGAGTAACTGCTTAGCAACTGCAAGAGAAAAGATCAGCACCTTCTTCGGTTATCTGGAACAAAAAGTTCTAGGTTTAAAGGTGCCCCGTGGAGTGTTGTGGAGTGTTCCTTTAATCAACAAAAATGTCATTTTAAGTTCAAAATCTCGCCCGGGTGTTCATGGATCATACAACCAAAATGGTGACCCACACATATAAACATCACTCCATGGCGCCACTCCAAAACTCCACTGTGCATAATTACTGTACATTACCACATATATATTTGTGCAGGGAAGTTGGACCCACTGGTGGTCCCAGAGACACACTGACCCCAACCACACAGATGTTTATGAAAAGGCTACTTGTTAAAATGGAGAAACTGTGACTATGTGGTTCGTCAGCGGTGCAGGATATAGTAAGATGCAGTGAGCTGATTTTTTCAAATGCATACAAGTCAGTGCTACACTTAAAATATTACCAATTCTACTGTTTTACTGTATCACAGCAGAGTATAGTTTTTAATAAAAATAATCACAGATATCCATGTTTAACTTACATAACATGTTCTTGATAGGATGCAACAGCAGTGCCACCTGTCCAAAAAGAATGTCTGAACTGTGTGAAATAATTACTTTATGACGTTTTGATACTATACCTTATTTTCTTTTCCAGGCTGTTTTATCAGATGACAGAATATCATTAAAAAAAAAAGGTTATTTGACGTCATCCCTGTGAGAATTTCCTCACCTACAACACGGCGCAGTGTTTACCAGTAGTTGGATACTTGTGAGGGTCACTTTTGTGTAAGAATAACAACTTAATTAAAACCCACAAGCCTTGTTTATTCACCTCCCCTCATAGACGGTGAACAATGTTTACCATTTTTGCGAGCCAACCTTTTGATTCAAGTTTTCTGAAACCCCTATAACGCAATCGCTCCTCGTTTTGAACATAGTCTCTGACTACTCTTGGGTAAACCATACATATGCATGAGCTTCTGTTTTACACACACTTGATGCTCAGCAGCCCTTTCCTTGCACTCTAACAAGCAGCTTTTCTTCAAGTGTTTAGTCATCATTAAAACATTCATTTGCAACATAACGCTGCATTAAATCCTGCTAGGGCACATTAGTTAAACAATCTTTAAACATCGCATTCAGTATAGCCCGTCGGCCTTTGATGAAGACTTTTAATTTATGTGATATAGTGGAACACAGCTTCATCTCTATTTCAATGGTAAAATAGTGTTTCCCTTCCTTTCTGCTTAAAACTATTTATGAGATTTTTTTATCATACACATCACAGTAAGTATTTGAAACTGATCTAAGACTTGTGGATATGAGGAATATATATTTATGAGAGGAAACAGTGAGAATCTATGCTTATTTATGAACTTTCTCGATAAGGGACTGTCCAAAAATTATTAGGGGGGAGGTCAAAAAAGGAGGAAGGGTTATCTATTTTTCTTTTTGCTGAAGGGTAGGTTGGTAGAGCCCTTTATTTACTCTAAAATAATGTGGCTAGAATAATATATCATTTTGTTACGTGTGTGCATTAATGGCTACTGTGGACATTATTATTCCACTATATATAAATATATAGGTTAAAATTAAATTACTGAATCTTAAATCCTTTGTCCTTTGCCTCTTAATAGTGAAGTCAAGGGGAGGGGTCCAAAGAAAATAATAATGCTATGGAAGGTCTTCAAAAAGATTCCCACCTCCTCACCCCAATCATTTTAGTACAATCCCTAAGAGATGTTGGTTTTATCAGTGGTGCTTAAACCTAATCCTTTAATATAATCATTATGTGGAATTAAAAAAGATATTTTGATAATTACTGCATCCCCGGTGACATTAAGATATGTTACACTTCCTGCAGATTATCCGTAATAGCCATAATCATAATCATAATAATAATATAACAGAAGTAGAAAAAGGAATGCCCATTGCCTGGTGGTCCACGCCAGAGATTGTGAATCATCATCGTCTAAAATGTATTGGCACAATAATGCTGACACCGTTCATTGCCCAAGGGAGTTCTTTAGTCTACCCCCTGTTCACCTCTCTACACACCCATCCAAACCCTACTCAGAGCAGGAAAGCAGCTACAAAACACTGTAGGCACTGTGACCATGATACACTTTCACTACAAAACTGAGTACGAAAAAAAAACATGTCCCCGTCATCTCATTGTGTTTGAGATTAGAGATAGCAGTCCAGGCTAGTTCATGTGCAGTTAACAGAGAGTCTTTTGGTCTCTCAGTGAGGTAAGAGGGGCTGTATGATTGGGTCCATCGATAGGCAGCCTCGGGGGAGTCATTTATCCTTTACTCAGCCAGGCAATGCACCGAAACATTTACATATCTCCTAGAGGCCTGCGATGTGAACTCTTCCATCTCCCCTCCTCGACTGAGGCTTTTTATCTGTCCGTTAGACACCCTTAATGTCCTCACACACTATGAGCCTGTGTGTAACAGTCCAGGGTGGATAGGAACATCGTCGTCCGCAGTTGATCGATTATTAGTGAGAGATTACTAGTTCAAAGGCTCTGGGGTTAAAGGTCGCCACTCTGGGGTTCAGGCCTGGCTTCCTGGTTGCGGCTGCGGCCCAGTCTAGGAAAGCGGGATGAGGTTTTGGACCGGGGCGTCTTGGCTCCACCATCGTTGGCCTGGGGTGTGTCTCTGGATGAGAGGAAACAGCAGAAAGAAGAAGTAAGAGCCATGAACATCTGGGGAAGTTTATTATTCAAAGAAAACACTGATTCTGCATCTGGAGTCTTAAAAGCAGCATTTCTCTTCCACTCTTCTTGGAAAACCCGGAAGCAAACAGAGAAACTTTTATAAGGCAAAAAGGCTGAATCTCAATTATTAACATTAATTGCTAACAGAAAACTGATGTATTTAATTGACTGCCTATCTCCCTTTTTCACGTACAGTGTACAGTATGTACAGTTTGCCATAATAACGGTGGATTTACCACTCAAAAGTCTTACTTCTGACAGAGGTTGACAGAATACTACTTCTCATTTCTAGCTGGAAACAAATTTTCTTACTGAAATGACATTTGATCTTAAGAGTTGTACCTAGTTGGCTAAAAAACTTGATGGCTACACACATTATTGTGCTCACTGAGGACTACACTGAGGCTACACCTGTCAACACTCTAACCAATGGCTGATTTATACAAAGGACATTAGAAGAAAGAAACTGTAGTTTTGTTTTATTGTAGCGCTGTACTGTTCATAATGTGAAACAGTATATTTTCACTTTTAACATTACAAGAGAAAAGCTCTATAGGATGAGGACTAATTGAATGTTTTCTCAAACCCAGGTAGTACGGTAGTAAGGTAGTTAGCAGGACATGGCAGTGATTGCAGCATCTGTTCAAGCAGATAAACACACTGTTTAATTCATTCTGTGACCTTTTCTCTTATTTTAGTTTTGGAAAAGCTAAAATACGACACGGCCCTCCAAACTCTCATTTAAATGATCAGTATTGCTCTCACTACAGCTACATGAACACTATATCAGCACGTGGAGATGAGATAAACAATCTTGTTTTTTTGAAGGGTGTTCTTACCATAAAATATACATAAAATACAGTACATTACGCTTGACAGGAATGTTGTTTCTAGTTACATTTGCTACGCTACGATTGGCACAACCATTGTGGGAGGGACAAACGTCCACCTAAAAACATATTTTTTTTACTTTAATGTAAATCATATGGAATTCATTTAGTAGTAACTGGTATGTTTTTGTCCTTCAGTACCTTTTATTTTTCTTTCCAACCTAATTATTCCTGCTGTCGCCACCGGAAGCCATTATTTGTGACCCAAGGAACCAAATTATAGTCATTTCTGATCTTATGATGATGTTTAGGCTTCTCATTACTCAGGAGGAAATAGTCTTGGCCACTTGATGACATCATCGCCCTAGTTACCCTAACGACCGTGCTCACAACACGTGAACCCCTGATCTCTAATCTTATCTGATAACGGTGAGGATGAATGAGAGGCACTTGTCAAAGGAAGGAAATGAAAAGCAGAGGGATTGAATGCATGGAGTTAAATTCTTTCTCCTTGAATCCTTCTGAAGCATTTCATCCCCAAGACAGTGACCCCTCACCTGCTGCTTGTGATGCTGCAATGAATTTGTAATACGAGTGGTGAGTTCAAGTGCTTCTTGGACAAACGGATTTTCAATAAATATTTAAAACAGCAAAGAGACAAAGGGCATTACCATGTTGATGTCCACCTGGCCTCTTTAGTGGCACACCCCAGCTGCTCTAGAGCTGTGATTAAGGTTATCTGGGACATCTGGGTGGGCCTGTGTTAGGAGTTTGATTCCCACTCGGACAACACATGCTAAAAATAAACGCACTCGTGGTGAGGTGCTTTGGCTTAAAGTGACACCGCGAGCCATATGCTTGTATGCGAAGCAGCAGGGCCTAAAAAAGCAGCACAGTAAGAGGGCAGTGAGGCTCTGTCATGTTGAAGTAGGCTGAGACACGGATGAGACAGTCACAGCACAGCAACCGTAAGCAAGTTGAGATTCAAACTTAGGTATGAAAAATGTATGGCTGCAAAGTGTCCCTGTTGTAACCATCAAGATCAAACGGCTTTTGGGGGGGGGGGGGTGTGACCAGCCAATTTGAGAACAGCCTGAACTTTGTTAATATGGTGGACGTTATTCCTTTTTTCCCCTGGCTGAAAATGTACATTTAGCAGTGGCGCAAGTACCTCTTATTCCCATATCTCCACCGCACCAGGCAAGCTCAATCAAGTGCAGTCACACAATTTGAATTTGACCAAGGTTGGCCAAACAGTGATGCGATAGGGAGTTAAATCAGCAAAAATCATACTAAATTGGGGGCAGCATGCAGATTTGAAACTGCAAGCCATCTCATTTATTCATATCAAACTGGGTAAAGTAGCTAAATGTGCTAAATTAATTAGGCTTATAGATTTTTTTCTCTGACTCTCAGCGTGTGCTTGTCCCCCATTTGGACATGATATTGACTTGTGCAAGATAATAACTTTCCTAGGCACTGTTGGAATATTAATAATTTGACAGCAAAGTAGCATAATTACAGTAAATGGGTACACAAGCATGCATCAAATTGATTGTCTAACAGCAAAATGTGGGGTGTGGTGAACAGTACAGTCTGAATAATCAACAATTCTCTCTACAATACATATCCTTTCTCACACATGCACACACATACAGTACACGTCTCCAGTTTCAGGTCACCACAATAAAGGTTGCATTCTCATTCTGAAGTCAAACTGCCACAAACTGCTATTGACAGTGTGACAAAGGTCCGCAACGCTGTTTCTCTGAGGCAGCAGGTCAATACAGCGAGAACCCAGACTGAGTGTGTGTACTTTGTGTTCAGAGTAAACCATAAGAGTGTTGAGGTCGAGCTGCATACTAAGTGGTGGCAGAGCCAGAGAGAGGTGTGACCACGTTGCTGTTCCAGACAAGTGAGGAAAAATTGCAGCATGCAAGTCTAAAGAAGGGAGTGTGGAGAGGCTCAAAGAGAGGTGTATCAGTGTGATAGCCATCAAGCACAAACGTCATTGCTGTTGTCAGGCCTGTTACTCACATACAAATGTAAAAAAATATGAAAAAATAACTAATATTTATAAATGTTAGTGATAAATAAAGAATGAAAAGGTGGATTAATGTTGGCCTACTGTTGGTCATAATCATTAAAACAAGACTCAGACATGAGCAACTCTAATTTATGCACAGTGGTGCTTTGAGCTAAATGTTAATGGCAGTATGCTATAATGCTCACAATGACAATGCTAACTTGCTGATGTTCATTTGTGTGTTAGCATATACTATTATTATACTACTATTAGTAATTATAGGAATAAACAAAGTACAGCTGAGACTGATGGCAATAGTTTTGCAGGTATTAGATTGTAAACCAAAGTACGGGAAAAATTAAAAGTCTAACTTGATGAGGGACCTAGATGAAAACTCAAGGGATTAGTCATAAATCATAAAAATCCATCTTAAGGGGGATACGAAGAGCTGTACTACATTTCATGACAATTTATCCAGTAGCTGTTGGGATATTTCAGTCTGGACCCAGGGAGGCAGGACGGTCTATAGGTGAAAAAGGCCGACCAGTAACCCTGCCTAAGCTCCCTTGAGCAAGACAGTGAACCCTAAAACTGTTCCAGGGGTGCAGCACTGCAGGCGACCCCGCGCTTTGATGTCTCTGATGTAACACATATGTGTGTTTATGTGTAACTAGGAGGGATGTGCAAAAAGACACATTTCAATTACCTTGTGTACACAATAAAGTAATCTTCTTCTACTACTGCTAGCATGGCAAATAACAATTACCAGAATACTCAAAACTCACTAACTAACTCTTTCCATGGCTGTCAACTTCTTTTTCATAATGGATTAAAGGTTAAGAATCAAACTTCATTTTTACTTTGACATTGATTCATTCTTTGATGCTATACTTTTAATAGCAATAATAATTAAGTGTTGAGCTCACTTGTCAACAGATGACAACTGAGCCAAACCCTGACAAAGATGCAGATGCAGTGTTAAATGTTAGTCAGTGGAGACAGTGGAGTTGGAAGGTTTCAACCTACTATTTCTGAGGGCAAGAATGATTGAATTCTGAATGTTGTATCTCAGAAATGCATATTTAAACGCAGAATGTTAGTTTCTCTGTATTGTGCAAGCAAAAAGGAACTATACACTATAGCAGGTATCATTATTTCTCCAGGGTGCAGTTATTTGATTCTCTAAAAACATAAGATGTCACGCACTCTTACTTTCATATGCTGTCTGTAAAAGATCAGTGTGATCAAATAGCAATGTTTGGTGTCAGTGCCTTTGTCAAACTACTGCTAAGTTAAATCAAAACAGTGGGAACCCTTCCAGGCAAGCTTTCTGCCGACTTATATGAATCTGAGTGACTAATTATGACAAAATCCCACAAAGATTGGCATGTAATATAGTTTTTGAATGACTCAACTTCAAGCTGATGTTCATAGTAAAGTAGTGACTTTGTATGGATTTGTAACCAGGATATTGTCACTAAAAATAACATCATTCACAACACTGCCACAGTTACTACACCCTATCTTCGCACGCATTTAGGTCAGTGCAGCATCATTAAGGAGCTCTGATATCCATCAAGTGCCTCAGCAGGAGATCTGGAGTGCTGAACCCCAGTCCGTCTCCTCCTCAGACCTCAGACCAGCTTCCGTCCTCTCCATCCTCCACTGTCCTATTCTCTTAATTGCTCTTCCTATATTGCTTCTGTGTCCAATGGCTTCAAATTCTCTCAATAGACCCTTTTTCACAGCAGCCATTTTGACATGAAATAGTAGGGTAATCACAGGTGTTACCAATTATACTAATTAATGTTCCGTTCCATTTAGTGTAGCAGAGCCTTTCCAGTGAGCCAACATGCACAATAGCAGCACCCTGACTCTGTTTGACCCGAATGGAACAAAACCTGAATTGGTATCAGTAGTAACACCTGTGTTTACCCTACTATTTCATGTCAAAATGGCTGTTGTGAAATGGCTGTTGTGAAATGCACCAGAACATCTGGCGTCTTGTGTTTGCATCTCTCCAGGCTTTGCCATTGTGACAGAAATCTGCCAGCAGCAAAATATGGCAACATCACGGAGGTCCGGAGGATAATTAGCTGTACGTAGATAATGTAGTATCGTTAGTTTGTGGGCACTGATTCATTCTGTAATGTTCCTAGTAAAAGTGAGCAATCTGGGAAAAGTGCATGTGTTCAACCATCTATCCATCCATATAGTGGAAATTTACCAAGTTAATTTCTTCCCCCTCAATGTCCTTTCTTAGCCGGCTTATATTAGCAACAGGCCTTATTAGCCTGTACTATCTATTATTTGAGACTTGCCCACTATTTGAGAATTCACGATATTCAATGTTTTATTAATTTGGATCAGTTATGGCTGAGCAAGCAATGTATGGTTTCCATCTAGAGCCAGTGTTCTCGTTTGCCTCTGCATTCTCTCTACGTTCCTTCCCTCCCCCCTTCATTAAGTTAATGAACAGACTAATCAGTCTTTCATCCCTCACTGAAGATGTTGGACCAGCACAGGTTTGACCACGCCAACTGAACAGACTAACGGGGTCCAGATTAGACAGTAACACCATGTTAAACCATTATACATCATGGCAACGCGGGTGGGGCCTCAGAGCAACACTGGCAACAAACTAGAGAGTACTGTATGCCTTCACACGCACACATGAGGTACATTATTGTATGCTGATCGGTGTTGATTTAATGTCGGCTACAATTCCATTGAGTCATGGTGCTGAGAATTTCGGTGTCAGTCCAGATCACCACAAGCTGAGACAGACCTGCATATGCGAGTAAAAGTCATTTACTATCAAGTCTGTCAGCTGTCGTCATAAAGTTTCATCAAGGGCAGACAGGTTTGCAGGCTCTGTGCAACATGTTATGCTCAAGATGTTCTTGTGCAAACTTGTTAGCGTGATGTACAGATCAACTTTCTCTGCAGTTGCTGTGGACATTAGCTTTTCACACCACCAGGTAAAGCAGAGTTTGGCCAGCGTCCCCTGTTGTTTTGCTGTTTACTAATGGTTAACCTGCCGTGTTCCTGGGATAAAAGTCAGGAGTAATTGGTACATAAGCAGACAATAGTAATCCCAAACACATGCAGCAACTGTGCAAGAATAGATGTACATATGAAGAGTATGAAGTCTGAATAACAATATTTCAGTGTAGAAAGAACGGAAGAAAGTACTGTTATGAAGTCTTTAGCAGACTTTGCTTCAAGGGCCGGACCAAGAAAAAGAAAGACACATTTTTGCTGTTCTTACAAGAGAACCAAGAGGTGTAAACATAAAATCATATAGACAGACAGGTAACTTATTTATTGGACAGTCTTGGTGATGTAATTCTGCATCATCACTGCCTCTGGTGGCTGACAGCCAGTGGTGGTAGGTATATTATTCAACTACTACACTCAAGTACAATTTTCAGGTACTTAAGTAATTCCATTTCATGCTGCCTTTATAATTTATACCTCTACTTCTTCACCTTTACCAGCTGCAGCACTTCAACATTAATGCATCCATAGTTATAATTCCAATAATATAATATACATGATTTGGAAATTAGACATTCTGCACGATGAGTGCTTTTACTTTTTGAGTTTATTTTGATGCAAATACTTATGTACTTGTAATTAAAGCAACAACATGTAACATTTCTACCTTAAAATATCAGCTTCGCTATCATTTTGATGCTACACCGAGTTGTAATCTGGTAAAGGTGCCTCTGTCATCCCCACTCTGCATCCCCTATGCCTGTTCTCGCATTATGTGACTTGGTTTTGGGTCGCAACAAGCATGTAACGCTTTACCGAAGTAGTCACACACCACCAACTACTCTGTAAGTCACTGATTTTGGTGAAACATATTTTATGGAGAAAAACTGGAGAACGCTGATGGAAAGTGGCGCTGGTTGTGCCACAACCGGAGCAGGGTGACCGGTCAATGTAACTGGGCTCAGAAGTATCTGCGGACATAGCTAAAGGCAGCGGCGACCTAGGAGGAGACTGGGGGACGCTTAGTAGAGAAAAGGAGAGAGAAGCCACAGGAAAGAGTAAATCTCGGACTGGCTTTTAGTCATTGGTGAGTCAGAGCCGAGCCAGCCTACTTGTTAAATAGTTTAGCTTTTAATTTTTATTGTAATGTGATAGAGTATTTCTGCACTGTGGTATTGCTGCTTTCACTCAAGTAAAAGAGTAAGTATTTATTACTGCAGCTTATGAGTTAATTTATCTTCTCTCCCAAGCTCAGGAAGAAATTATTGATTATCAGAGTTATTAGTCAAGACTGCATCCAGATCTTATATATCATAAATAATGTAGAAAAAGGATGAAGAAGAGGCGTTGTGTACTGTAATAATAGGGAGGAGATGGTATAGTAAAAAGAACAGCACACCTCTGTTTAACTTCTTTCCTTTCTGATGTATCTGGGAAAATCCCTGCAATCACATGCTGATGTGCAAACATGTTACCATGGTTACCAAAATGATCTTGGATAATTATGTAGATCTCTTCCTAGACAGTTTTCATAATAAGCAAGATGGATTTAGAAGTTTATCCCTTTGATTTAATTATAAAATCACATATCTACTATCACATAAACATAACATAAACATAAACATTCTTGTCTACATATATTTCAACTATGTTGTTGTTGTTTTTGCCTTAGCCCGATGACTCAGATGTCTCCAGAGAGGAAATGACATTCCAGTCAGACGGTGTGACAGGTCACGCTCGCTGACTGATCGCAGTAAGTGGAAACTGATGTGAATATTGACAGGAAATGACTGGAACATCTCATTTTCGGATGTAGCCTGGGAGGTAGGTGGGCAGCCAAGGCATCATGCACTTTCACACTTGCTAGTCTGAGTGCGTGTGAATGTGTGTGAGAGAACATATACGCTGTATGTGTGAATATGCGTATGAGTGTAAAACGCAGAGAGACGCGGAAGTTTGTTTACAAGGGATTTGGCATTTTCAGTGACATTAATCCTCCCCGTTTGTATCCTGTAACAACTGCTACGACAACAGCCGTGGCAGCTAATTATTTCTGAAAATCTTGTAGATTAAATTGGTATAATACGTACAAACTACTGCCAAAAAATGACAGTTTTTCCCTTTTTCCTTTTCCTTTCTTTCCATTTGAGATTGCTGTGGACAAAACACTGGACCGGAAACCTCCACCTAATGCTATGACTACATAAAGAAAGTTATAAAGATATTTACATTCCCTAATTTATTTCCTTGTAACATATTCCCTGACTGTTCCTGTTTGGATTCCTCCACTAACATGTCTGTAACACTGCATCAATCTTTCACAGACAGGAGCCCTGCACCTGCACACATGTGCTGGCATCCTTTCCCCTCAATCTCCCTCACCCACGCACACCACTACATATGCTCACACAAAAGCTCAGATGCTGTATCGAACATGCCTGTATGTGTCCACTTACAGACAGAAAGGCAGCAGAGACAGCAGGGTCTCTTTGGTGGGGCGGGCTGTGAACTCCGGCAGTGTCTGGATCAGTTTGTTCATCACTATGCGCAGGTAGCCCTGCAGCTGCTTCCTCCTCTCCTCCACAAACTTGGCATCCTGCAGACAGAGAGGGAGGGAGACAAACAGAGCAGGGAAGGGGAGAAAAGAAAGAGTTAGTTGGAGATAAAATGGTGCTTGGAGAAGCTGAAGTTTAAGATGCAGCATCAGTAATGTTGAACCCACAAAGAATCACCGGATTCTGCAGTTCCCCCCAGCTCTATGGAGCTTTATAGCATAGTTTCTCATAGTTTCGGTTTTTCAGAGGACAACTTCACTGTTCTGATTCACTCTCACCACTCCCATCAGTGACGTTTTGGGGTGCAACAGGCACCTGTTTGCACCAAAAAAAGAATAATAAATTCACCATATGTTTCTAGCCCTGCAGTAAATATAAGTCAGACACATAGGGATTTTTAATTGGCACTTTTAGCCATGCAGCCATAAGTCCAACCATGCTGTGCTGGTTTGATTCCCATTACCAGTTTAAAAGCCACGCCTGAGATCATCTCCAGAGATAGGCCACAATGTGCCAAAGCACCTCCAAGTGGATTGTGGTAAGATCCAGAAAAAGGGGTTACAGTGCGTGCTACAGCAAAGTGTGACGGGGTGAGAAACACAAGCAGTCAAACTGGTTGTACACAAGCCGACAGTGAAGTCAGATCATCTAAACCAGGTTTTTTTAATGTAAAATGGAAATTGAGACCTGAAATGTCAATAATAATCCCTCACTGCAGAGGAAAATTGTACATTCACAATACTACAGTCTCCTCATCTAACCCCTTGAGCTTTTTAACTAATTGAACTTGAGTTCAGTGTTACTTCTACTGGTAGGAACAATGACCAGAAACTATGAAAATAAGATGAAAGTTGAAAATAAAACCCAACATAATTATTCTTTAAATATTATCTATGTGCAATTCTCAATATCCCTAATTTAGCTGATATTGACTTTTTTTTCCATGTTTGAAGTATTTCTGGTTGTATTATATTGATCGTGAGCATAAGTCAATTGGGCTGTGGCCATCAAAGTGAGACTATGCAGAACCAAGGATGATGGCGTGTCAAACCAAAGACCAGCAGTGTAATATAAAATCAAAAATGCCTGTTCCAAACCATGTCCATAATCATCCATGCTGTATTGAACCAGTTTGGTTGAGTTGACTGTTAGTTTCTTCGATGTTGTTGGACTTACAGATGCTGTCTCCCTTAGCCTGGGGCCAAGTTAGATAGTTCATCAAGATGACTGACATGTATTGAGGTGTGAGCTGCCCATCGCAGAGGGAGTAAGGTGCGTCTCACAAACACACGCTGCCTTGAGGCAAAAAGTTGCATATTGTGACATAAAAACCTGTGACTCTGGAATGATTATGTCGTTTTGCTGTGCCAGGATCAAATCTCACATCTGTGTCCCCTGTGATTTGTCCCTCTGAGCTTTCCTTCTATCGGTACAAATGTTCTATACTTGTGGTTAAAACCAACAACTTGTTTTTTTTTTTAAATGAACTAATGCAACTAATGACCAGCCCTCCAGATCCCTTACCTCCCATGAGAAGCAATGGTCCACATTTGATAAAACATGCAAAAAATAATAATTTGTGGGGTTTTTTGTCATTTGGTTGCTAATGTTGAAGAAAAATCCTTCGTTTTAGCATTCAGACTTCCCTCACTGAGAGACTCTGGAGGCGGAGGCACGGAGGCATGTAGCCACATGGCCAGTGCTAGCATGGCTAATCGGTGTCCAGCAAGGCTCAGAACAAAGCCTGGGCAATGTTCCGTTTTACTCTTCAGTGCTTGGGACTGGAATAAGATGATATTTTAGGAGGCCAACCTCTTCTTGTTTCTGAAACCACTGCTCCTCTTTTGATCTAAAATCCCAACACCCAAGAGAATTGAATTGTCTTGTCTTAAAATACATTTTGTTTTTTTCTTCACAAAAAGAATGAACCTCAAATGGAGCTGAGTGGCTGCAGATGCATCAACCGAAAACCAAGAGAAAAATAAGAGAAACTCTATTTAATAAAATACTGTATGTAGTAACCACTATGGTAAAAAACAATTACCAATTAAAGCACTAGAAATAATAAGGCTCATGTAGGTTCAAATTCATTAATCAAATGCAATGAAATTACTCCTGGTTTATAAATTGTTAACACTTAAAGCTCATGAGGATTTCTCACATTTGTTTTCAGAAACCTCTCTGCCCATGAGCAGTGACATTTACACTCGCACTACCAGAAAATACGATAAAATTCAAACTCATGCTGCCTCTAATTTGAAAATTTTCTTGCTGCAAGGCAGACAATACAATCCATAAGAGCTATAAAAGAGATAAAATACAACAAACATAATGAAAAAACACAAAAAACAGTAGTCAATAGGGGAGTAAGATTCGCAGGAAGTGAGTGTCTGCAACATTACATTTCGATCCATTAGCTTTGGTTTAAATTAAAAATACTAAATACTACAGGAGGCCCAAACATGTTGGAATTCTAACCTTTTAGCCTATTTGGTTTGTCCATTCTGGGTCACTGTAAAAACATGGCTCTTGAACATGGCGGCATCCATACAGCCACTCGACTGCTTCCTCAGTGGATAAAATCGGTTCATTTTAAGGTTACGATTGTGATTATACACTAATAAAAACCTATAAATATTATATTCCA